CGCTAACATTGCCAACTCAGCTTTAAAGCGAATCCGGTTTAAAAAATGTATTTGTAAAACATTAGATATGGAATCACGTCAGGCTGTAGTTTAGGAATTCTAAAAGAGTAATGGATTGTGGTAAATGCTCCTCTTATCAATAAGGTTGTTGTATTTATTTATTTTTGTGTGTGTGGAAAATTTGGCAATGAAAAACAAATAATCTGTTCGCATTTTTTGGTGTTTTATACCTGACACAAACGTTTACATTAATTATTTAATCAAATCAACCCTAATTAACAAATAAATTATATTATGAACTGCATGGTCGGACAATAAAGCGAACGCTAGTTAGCTCAAAAGGTACAGAGTTTGGATCCGGGGAAGATGAAGCTCGTTAGCTAGGGGCAGCAACCCATCTTGGAGAACTCCAAAATCGAACAGTTGCTGCCTTGTAGTTTGTTCGTGAATGGACAAAGGCTATGGAAGCAAGTTCAGAAAGAAAAGTAGGCTGAGTCAACTGGCCATATGGCGCTTAAAGTTATTGACATGTAATACCTAATTGTGTTGAAGGAAGCCCTTGCAAAATTACAATAAAAAAAGAAAATCTAATTTACACTATATTTTTCACATAGCAGATACATTTTGAGATGCATGTCCAGGGTCTGTTTAAAGTATAATTCATTCCATAACATTATTACGGTTTAGTTCATGTCATAAATTTTGTTCCGTAATTGTTTCCTGATTTATATCACTGTTAGGTTGAGTTTTTTTATCGGTTAACCCTTTTTAATAAACCTAGTCATAAAGGGAGAGAACCGAACTTAAAGGTCACCACACTGGCGGCCTCAAAGAATAGTATCCATCAGGGGCGGTAATTTAAGTATGTGAACACGGCAAACAGAGTTATCCCGGATTAATTTCAACCCGTCCTCGCCAGATTGGGGTTAGTGATTGCATTCGTCACGCAATTATTGCCGGAATATTCCGGTCTTTGATTATATCGGGGTACCGTACATCAAAAGATTAGGTGCGTTATTATAGAGACCAAGACTTAAATGAAATGTGGGTTATATTTTTAGAGTTAGGTTTTATGCGTGAGTTAAAAGTAGGGTTAGTAACTATCTTTGTTTTGAGTTTCTTATATTTGCAGATAGATTAATGATTATCGATTGGTTCAAGTTGTAAAAACAAATAAATTGTAAAGACAGATTAAGATTTGGATTACAATAAATGAAACAGGTTTAGGATCATTGCAAAGATGATGACTAACGTAAGCGTTTTTGTTAGGCTAGGTTTGGGCAAGTAGGTTTGGGCTTAGGATAAGTGTCATTTTCAAGGATGGTGATTCCAAATCCCGTTACCGAATTGTTGAAGTTACTATTGGAATTGTGTTTAGGTGCTTATTATGTTCTAAAAATCCGGACGGTTAGGCATTTTTTTCTAGAACACTCTTAACACAAATTGAAATAATAGAATACAATCACTGGTGTGGGTGGGTAGATGATTGTTAGGGTTTCCCTAGGACCTCAAAAATAAAAAATAAAATAAAATGTGCTGTAAAAAATTTACAGTTTCAATGTTGTAATGGAGAATATATATATATATATATATATATATATATATATATATATATATATATATATATATATTTATTTATTTATTTATAGCAATATTCGTCCAACGCCACTGAATATATATAGGATACAAATGAGATTATGTTAGTTTGGTGTTTCAGGAATGTGCTACACTATTTGACATCTCTTAATAACAAATTTGCAGCAACGTGTTTGGAATACCAATTTCTCATGAGCCAGGATATGCAACTAACGCGACGGTCTCGCCCTATGCTAGAGTTCGCAGATACTTGTGAAATGTAACTAGTGTTAAATAGATAGCTCATGTTATCTGACTGCATTTATATAAGTCAGATGACAATTGTTAGATTATATCACGTGGCAAATGTCCAGACGTATATATTCTTCAGCTGTTTTTTTTTTTTTTTTAATTTTTTTTTTTAGAATAGACTTTAAAAATTTTGTTTAGTCTGTGATGCTTTTAATTGAAATTTTTGTTTCGTTGTTTGATCCGTTTAAAGTTGTATATATGCTCGTCCTTTTAATGATTCCTTTATATTTCACGTACATTAAAATAAAGCATAGACGTGTAGCTTTTTGTTACTGTTCAATTATTTTTTTCAGTTAGTTAAGCTATCTCCTGGCGGTCTATGGTTTATCTGTTGCTGTGAACTCGGCATATGGAGGGTTAAGGTGGTCTAAATAAGCCTAGCCGCCTCTACTTTCCCTAACATATTAGTAGAGGATACTAAGCAAATACTTTTTTAAAATAATATTTTTTTTTTGTTTGGGATATCTTTTCTTCAAAGTAATTTCTTTTTAATGATACAATCTAATGTTTTTATTTTTTCGTGTTATTCCTAATTAGATTTTATTATTGACAAAATAAATGATTTACTAATTTCAAAATCTCCGCAGAATTATAACCGAAATAAAAAAAAAACGTCTATTTCTATATAACCGCTTGAAAGTACGCCTTACATCGCAATTCCGTCAAAATTCATTAACCAAGATCAGAAACCTATTAAACTTAAATTCCCGAAATGCTTTTCTCAATACAAAAAGAAGTATTTAATTTAAAAATTTACGATTATAACATTATATAAGAATTTCAACCGCCCAGAATACTTCGCACAAATATTCCCATTTCTAAAAATATTTACTTTCTCCACGCATGCGCGGTGCATATTTCCGCCCACTTAAACCAAACAAGACCCCAGACAAAATTTCGAGTATCTCACAGCCTACGTAAATATCTCAAGCACAGGTAAAGATGTTTGTTTTATAAGGTAACTGATTTACACCCAATGGGCGATCGTTACCAGGCGGTATATGGCTGTCTGCTCCGATTGTGGGGAAAAAAATACAAAATCAACAGAGGTTTATTTAGAGAGAGAGAGAGAGAAAGAGAGAGAGAGAGAGAGAGAAAGAGAGAGAGAGAGAGGGAGAGGAAAAAATAGAAAATCAACAGAGGTTTATTTAGAGAGAGAGAGAGAGAGAGAAAGAGAGAGAGAGAGAGAGGGAGAGGAGGGGGGGGGCATATGGTTAGTGAGGTGAAACATTTCAACATACGCTTACATCTCTACATCTGATACATTGCTTACAAAATAACTTTTATATATATATATATATATACATACATATATATATATACATACATATATATATATATATATATATATATATATATATATATATATATATATATATATATATATATATATATATATGTAGGCTATATATATGCTATAACCTTTATATATATATATATATATACATACATATATATATATATATATATATATATATATATATATATATATATATATATATATATATATATATATGTAGGCTATATATATGCTATGTATATGTACATATATTGTATATATATATATATATATATATATATATATATATATATATATATATATATATATATATATATATATATATATATATATATATATATATATATATATATATATGTAAGATTAAGGTAAGATATACATATAACATACTAGTCATGTTTGTTTTATAAAAATAAGCAAATACTCAATAAATTAAAATGAGTTTATTTTTGCATATGTGTTTCAATTGACAACTTATAATGATCTGAGCCTTGTTTTTTTTATGTTGCCTGTTCACAAGCACCTCTAAATTCTACTTAATCTACCATATGGTAAATTAAGTAGAATTTATCTACCATATGGTAAATAGTCTGACTTCACGTTAATCCATTTCGTAACCTTTGTTCAGTATTTTTTTTTCTTTTAAAAATAGAGTTCTGGGCCTTTCGACTCAAAAGGTCTATTTGTACAGGCAATATCTTTTTATTTGATATCCATTATGTCATTCGGTGTCAAGGCCGAAGGGTTGTGGGTTATGAAAGGTAACCCAGGGTCGTGGGGCATATGAGAGAATCGGCACAATGAAGCGTGTCAACAAGCTTTATACTGGTTCAGTTTGTTGGTGGTGGGGGGAGGGGGTGGTCGTAATGGTGTTTAAACACTGGTCTGTTTAAACACGTGTTTTTATTACAAAACTGAATGAACACAACACAAGGTAGACACAAAGTGTTAAAGTCGTTGGGTCTACAGAAGTTTGACACCGTCGTTTGGGTTGTGGTAGGGGGGTGGGGGGGGGGGTCTGTTTAGTGATGATGGTAGGTGACTTTTACCGGATGTTAGGGGTGGTTGGTTTAAAGGTGGAGAGACAGTGTGGAGAGATAAAGTAGAGAGCTAGGCTGGAGAGAAAGAGTGAGGGGGTAATTTATAGGGTGGAGAGGAAGGGTGAGGGGGTAGTTAACTTGTGGTTCATAAAGCTTAACCGAAATAGTGACACACACTCTAACACACTCACTATCACACATACAGACACGCACACTCTCACACACATTATCACACATACTCACATACATATCAATCTAGTTTACTCGTATTAGCACATTTTCTACTTCCTTTACCAATGCACTCGTTGAATATGCAAATGGTTAGTACAGCAACACCACTTGATACAAACACTCATTCATTCAAATACACCGTTTTTTATGTACTATATACATTTATCAACCACATACACAAGGTCAATCTAATACACCGCATTTGCGAAAACCTACAAACACAATACACCACAAGTGTGAACACCCTACAAATACAATACACCACATATGTGAACACCCTACAAATACAATACACCACATATGTGAACACCCTACAAATACAATACACCACATTAGAGAACACTACAAATCCAATACACCACATTAGAGAACACTACAAATACAATACACCACATTAGAGAACACTACAAATACAATATACCACATTAGACAACACTACAAATACAATATACCACATTTGTAAACGCCCTACACATACAATACATCACACCAGCACCACAACACAATCTACCACACACATGTAGTGACAACCACTGGCTTAC